TTGGAACCAAATGTAAGGGACATGAGTTTAATGCAATGCCACAAATCTTTGAACGGCTTAGTAGTAGCAAAGTGCTGGGCTTCATTCGAGGTAGGTAAAATAGAACGGATCTGAAGTATGTGAAAGGATAGTTCATAAGGGTGAATGGTGACAGCACTTGCCTGGCTTTACAGATGATAGGCAGTGGTCATGATTCTTTAATTACCCATTTGTAAGCTCTCTTGTGCAGCTTCAAAGCTACAAACCCTGGCACAACTACTGATAGAGCACGAGCATCTCTCTGTGCACTCTTTTGGGGGCAGGGATAGCACCTTACTTTGTGTTTATGACAATCGAGTTCCAGTGTGACTGAAGCTTCTAGGTGCCACTGCAATACAGATAAGGGTGCAAATGGTCATTTCTCAGTATCTGATCCCTACCACCATGCAAACAGGCTGGTATGGTAATGCAAAGGAAGAGGAACTCTCAGCAGTTCCCTGCAGACTGTTCATTGCACTTAAGCGAATAGTATTTGAGAAGTGAAGTAAATTTACTGTAAACTGCCCAGAGGCACTAGAGCCAAGTCAGCACATTGTGAATATGGTAGTAACTAGATTCACTCCCTTTTGCCATGCTTAGGGAGGAAGTATATGTGTAGCTTGCTTGGGCTAATGTTGAGTACCTCTGCTCAAGGGCCATACAGGCAACCAGTCAAGGCACAAGGGCCACACCTTTGTGTCCAAGAAGAGCAAGCTGACTACCCAAGTAGTGCAGTCAGAGCAGACTTCTCCACTGGGTGCTAATTTTAACGCATGATCTTGTTGAAGCATTTCACCCAGGGCAGGCAACAGACGTCACAGGGACATGGGCAAGATGGAGGTGGAGGGGGTGGACCTCAGGCAGAAGGGGCAGTGCTGGGACTACTCTCCCCCAGGCAACCCTTCGGTGCTGGGCAGCACACACCTCTTAGGATTCCTGATAATGATTTAAAGGGCTGGGGGCTCCAGCCACCACTGATGCTGCTGTAGTGGCAGCAACGGCTGGGAGCCGCAGGCCTTTTAAAATTGCAAGGCCCC